GGCACGGCTGGTCTGGGAGGAAGGATGGGTTACGAACAACAAGCGGTGAGTAGCAAAGCCAGGAATCGAACCCAGGGGGCCTGACACCCGGTCCCCGCTGCTCTCACCAGTAGACTCCCCTCCCCTCCTCAATCCCAGGGCTGAGAATACAACCCAGGAGTCCAGACACCCGGTCCCCACTGCTCTGACCACTAGACTCCACTCCCCTCCTCAATCCCAGGGCTGAGAATACAACCCAGGAGTCCGGACACCCGGTCCCCACTGCTCTGACCACTAGACTCCACTCCCCTCCTCAATCCCAGGGCTGAGAATACAACCCAGGAGTCCGGACACCCGGTCCCCACTGCTCTGACCACTAGACTCCACTCCCCTCCTCAATCCCAGGGCTGAGAATACAACCCAGGAGTCCGGACACCCGGTCCCCACTGCTCTGACCACTAGACTCCACTCCCCTCCTCAATCCCAGGGCTGAGAATACAACCCAGGAGTCCGGACACCCGGTCCCCACTGCTCTGACCACTAGACTCCACTCCCCTCCTCAATCCCAGGGCTGAGAATACAACCCAGGAGTCCGGACACCCGGTCCCCACTGCTCTGACCACTAGACTCCACTCCCCTCCTCAATCCCAGGGCTGAGAATACAACCCAGGAGTCCGGACACCCGGTCCCCACTGCTCTGACCACTAGACTCCACTCCCCTCCTCAATCCCAGGGCTGAGAATACAACCCAGGAGTCCGGACACCCGGTCCCCACTGCTCTGACCACTAGACTCCACTCCCCTCCTCAATCCCAGGGCTGAGAATACAACCCAGGAGTCCGGACACCCGGTCCCCACTGCTCTGACCACTAGACTCCACTCCCCTCCTCAATCCCAGGGCTGAGAATACAACCCAGGAGTCCGGACACCCGGTCCCCACTGCTCTGACCACTAGACTCCACTCCCCTCCTCAATCCCAGGGCTGAGAATACAACCCAGGAGTCCGGACACCCGGTCCCCACTGCTCTGACCACTAGACTCCACTCCCCTCCTCAATCCCAGGGCTGAGAATACAACCCAGGAGTCCGGACACCCGGTCCCCACTGCTCTGACCACTAGACTCCACTCCCCTCCTCAATCCCAGGGCTGAGAATACAACCCAGGAGTCCGGACACCCGGTCCCCACTGCTCTGACCACTAGACTCCACTCCCCTCCTCAATCCCAGGGCTGAGAATACAACCCAGGAGTCCGGACACCCGGTCCCCACTGCTCTGACCACTAGACTCCACTCCCCTCCTCAATCCCAGGGCTGAGAATACAACCCAGGAGTCCGGACACCCGGTCCCCACTGCTCTGACCACTAGACTCCACTCCCCTCCTCAATCCCAGGGCTGAGAATACAACCCAGGAGTCCGGACACCCGGTCCCCACTGCTCTGACCACTAGACTCCACTCCCCTCCTCAATCCCAGGGCTGAGAATACAACCCAGGAGTCCGGACACCCGGTCCCCACTGCTCTGACCACTAGACTCCACTCCCCTCCTCAATCCCAGGGCTGAGAATACAACCCAGGAGTCCGGACACCCGGTCCCCACTGCTCTGACCACTAGACTCCACTCCCCTCCTCAATCCCAGGGCTGAGAATACAACCCAGGAGTCCGGACACCCGGTCCCCACTGCTCTGACCACTAGACTCCACTCCCCTCCTCAATCCCAGGGCTGAGAATACAACCCAGGAGTCCGGACACCCGGTCCCCACTGCTCTGACCACTAGACTCCACTCCCCTCCTCAATCCCAGGGCTGAGAATACAACCCAGGAGTCCGGACACCCGGTCCCCACTGCTCTGACCACTAGACTCCACTCCCCTCCTCAATCCCAGGGCTGAGAATACAACCCAGGAGTCCGGACACCCGGTCCCCACTGCTCTGACCACTAGACTCCACTCCCCTCCTCAATCCCAGGGCTGAGAATACAACCCAGGAGTCCGGACACCCGGTCCCCACTGCTCTGACCACTAGACTCCTGGCCCCAGCCGGCCCCTCCCTGGCCCCAAGGCATAGGGGTCTCTCCCCTCCCCCGGCCCCAGCCAGCCCCTCCCTGGCCCCAAGGCATAGGGGTCTCTCCCCTCCCCTGGCCCCAGCCGGCCCCCTCCCTGGCCCCAAGACGCAGGGGTCTCTCCCCTCCCCTGGGCTGTGGCCAGGGATGCAAGCTGGAGACCGGTGACAGGG